CTCTATATTGGGTACCATAATATCACCAAATAAAATGCCACTCACTTAGGGCCTGCCCTGCTAGTAGTAGGCTGGACCTCTGAGTGCTCTGAACCAACAGCTGCGTGCGCGCGCTCAAAGCAAGCTCTAGCACCTGGTGTAGAGAGTGAGATCACGTTGAGATGCCACATGTCCACAGCATGGTAAACGACATGAGAAGAATTGTTCTATGGTATCCGATTGTCCGCCAAGGCAGCAACATTCTGAAAAGGCAGATATCCTACCAGACTCGTTCATTTCAATAGCCAAGCTAAGTGCCCGTTCCGGACTAGTACCTCATTTGGTTCTGGGCACGACAGTTGACTCTGCGCATCTTAGGACTTATGCGGGCACGCATGACAGTGCAGAAGTGGGCGTTTCGTAAATGTGGTACCTGTAGGGACCCAGGGAGATGTGTGAGGTATAAGGAGATGACAGGAGTAATGATGGAGATCCCATCTGGCTTACGCAACCTTTGCCAGCATCCTTCGGCAGGGAACTGCGTTAATGCTTGCTTGGCATGCCGTCAATCCTCGCTAGGCATGCGCATACAATGTTAAGGCAGGATTGTGGCTAAAAATGAAACGCCATTGGAATCTCTCTGCGAATGAACAGCCCAATTCAGCCTTGTCAGTCCTTCTGGCCCTCTTGCTGAGGTACTCTTGGTTGGGGTAGCCCGATGATTTTTGTTGCGGATGAAGTTTGGCAGAAGCCCCAAACACAAGCCACTACCACTCTGAAAAAGACACCTACAGCGCCGACGATTTCATACTGGTCCTCGGATCCTATGCTTTTGAGCGTCGCCCTTTAGCAGTGTATGGAGCTACGCATTTCGCTGAGGACAACCGTCATTTGAGGTTAAAGGTTGAAGGATATTGGGGGGGCCTCTCAAAACTTGGGTGGCTTTTTTTGGAAATCCCTATAACACGGAACCCCGCAATAATGCTGGCATCCAACCTCTCGAGTTGATGCCAGAAAGAGACTGTGGTACGGTTTAGGGTTCAGGGTTTAGGGTATGCCTAGGGACGTAAAAATGTAGAGCATGTAGAGAATCAAACGGAAAAGAAGAACAACAGGGAAACTGGTATTATATAGGCGTCTAACTCCAGGTGGTTCCCATAAGTTTCCCGCCAGAGCAGCAGCTGCAAAGCATCCAGGTAGGAGTCTAGGCAGCTAACCTGCTCTGAGGGATAGGGTTTCGGGCTTAAAGGTTTAGGGTTTAAGGTCTGGGGCTTAGGGTTTAGGTCATGAACTTAAGGGCTTCAGGATTCGGGGCTTGAAAATCTTGGATTGTGGTTGTGTGAGGGTACGTGGCCTACCACCTAAGATGCAGGATGTATGATTTAGAGCTTAGGTCTTAAAGTATGGGGTTTTGATGAACTTCCATCTGGGGCTTGGGGGCCTGTTGCACTTCAGGTTTGAAAAGACAGGCTCTGTCATAACTGGAAACCTAGGGTTGATCCCAGATATGGGCATAGATGTTACAAGGTTGTCATATTATGGAGGCCTGAATGATTGGGAGAAAGTACCCTCTTGCAACTCGCAATGCCTAAACCCTACACCCGAAACCCTAAACCCCTAAACCCCTAAACCCTAAACCACAACCCACGTTGGCAATGGAACGGCTGTGACTAAAACCTCCCTCTGGGAATCTTGAATTGGAGGCTTCAAAAATATTAGAGGCCCGTTTGAAAGGGGTCCCGTAAATGAGGGCTATAGTCCCCCCAAAGTAAAAAGAGTATGTTGTATATGGAGATCTTATGATAATATACCCAAGGCCACATTCTATCTACTTCAGGGGGACTACATTAAATACTGGGGTCTCTGCCAGCCATTTATCGGCCTAGCGGCTTAGGAAACCCTAAACCCCTGAACCCGGAACCCTGGACCCTCAAGAGCCAAAACCCCAAACCCTAACACTCCGAAAACCCTAAACCCCTAGATTACTAAACCCAAAACGCTAAAGCCCCAAAACCCTAAACCACTTAACCCTAAACAGTTTAGGGTTCACGCCTTGCGCTGCTGCATTCGCTTTCTGTAAAAGTCCACAATGCGGACCATGAGCAGCAAACCAACCTCAGTGCATAGGATTTTTTTCGGATTTAGTCTTTCGGGTCTTGGATGTAGCATTTAGGGTTTGGGGTTTGGGCCTTGAGTTTAAGGTTAGGGTTTTGAGGTCAGGCAGGTCTTCCTCCTCCTCCTCCCTGTTGTGTTGTGGTGGGTTTTCCTTTCCCCAAGACTGACTTTGGAATTCAGATCATTACCCCTCCCCCGGGTGGTGTGTGGGTGTGCTCTCTCCCAAAACTGTCGACCCTAAAGCCTAAACTACACCTGCTTTTGTGGAAAACATTCAGACCTCCCCCGTTGGTGTGGGCGGTTGTATTCCTTCAACAATATTCATCATTCCTTGCTGAAGTCATTCACATCGTTCTGCTTCCACCCCTGTGGTAGGGGACCTGCATTATCCATGTGACTGCTGGAAGTTTTGAGGTCTGTAACATCAAACAACGACAACAATTACGAGAACGGCGCCCCCGAAGCCTCAAAAAACGAGGACATAGTAGTTTCCATTTTCTTTTCCATTATCCCAATATAGCCCAAATTACCATAATATCCAATATAACCCCAATATTACCCTAATATAAAAGAACTACAATTACGAGAACGGCAAACGGCGGCTTGGGAGCGACAAAGTCTTTCAGGGCTTCGACGCAAACAGAGCTTATATAGGGATAATGGAAAAGAAAATGGAAACTACTAAAATGGGTTATATAGGGTATATATTGGGGTAATGGAAAAGAAAATGGAAATTACTAAAATGGGTTATATAGCTTAATCTAAGGCTACTTGGCTACTTGTCATGCGTCCTGGCAAAGTAACAGTAGAGTGGTTAACACATAGCATTCCACAACTCAATCAAAACTGGCCCGTCTTGGCATGGAGCCACCTTCCCCGCAGCAGCTAACATGGAAACGGCCAAAAGGGTCGTGCTCGAGGCTACTGCAGAAGGGACCTGTTGGGAGTTTCAATGCTGGGGTCAGGGAGGCTAGATGCTAACCTGGCACACTTCAATTTCGTGTGAGGGTCTGCTCCTCAAGAGATCGAGTGGTTAAACTGACCCTTTGCATGAGCCCCATGGACACTGATGATTCAGCCCCTTCCTCATACAAGCAGATACCATCTGTTCTGACCATTGTTCATCAAGATTTATGAACCTGTACCTGTAAACAAACCCTTCAATGCAGAATTCCTCCGAAACGCCATGCCGCCTGGGTACAGAATCCCAGCAGTTGCCCAGGAAACCTTCAAGGGAGTCGAGGAAGTACCTCATCTGCAAATTCTGCGAGCCACAATCTAAACTCCTAGAATCCCACTTAATAACCCCTATATAAGTCCCCTACATACTCCCTAGATACACTCCCCTATATAACCCCCTTTAAGGAATTTAGACCCTAGCTCATGTGACAAATATGTAAAACCCTATGGTGGAAGCCGGGCCGCCATTCCAACCAGGCAGCAGACACCCGAACCCTAGACCCTGAGCCCTACCTACACTGTAAAGCCCTACACCCAGAAACCTAGGCCTTAGCCTTAAACCCTAAGCCCGAAACCCTAAGTTTTTTAAACTCCTGAGACCTAAACCTAAAAGCCTAAGCCAACACGAATTTCGTGTTTCCGGCATCCACAGTAAGCCCAGACTGTCCTAGATGTTCAACAGTTTCGGTTGCTTGTGAGCAGCAATAATAGCTTGAAATCTGCACCCTAAACCCAAAACCCTACACCCTAAATCCTGATCTGAAGGAGCCCTAATCACTGCTCATCCGCACGGCAACCCTATGCGATCGGCCCGTCTACCATACGGTTAACCGGCCCCATATGAGCTACAGTATAGTCTTAACTCCTAGCATCCCCCCCAAACTCATAGAATCCCCCTGTAATGCTCCCCTTGTTCATCCCCTATCTAATCCCCCTTTAAGGAGTTTAGACGAACGCTCATATGTACCCTTCGTACAGCAGCGAAAATCCCATGCACTGGTCCTTAAGGGGGTGGCTTCAAGCCGTTGGTTCTCACTGCCCATGCCCCCTATGTCCTCATGACACCTCACCCGCCTAGTCATAACCATTCCGCAAGACAGTACATACCATTTCCTCATGAGGGGGCCTGGGGGGGTTAGGCTTGCTAGCAGGGGATGTATGCTTGTGCCAATCCGCAGCCCTTGGCCCTCAAAATCTATGGTGGGAGCCGCTGGTACAGGTCTTGAAGTTGAAATCCTGGCGTACCTAGGATCTAGCACATACCTTATGAACCATCAAAATCTGGGATCCTTACATATGTAGGATCTGGTAAGTAATGTAGGGGTCGAAACCACAATTTTTGAAATCTATTTGAAGTACCCTAGACTATAAGGAGTCTTGGAAACTAAGACCATAGTTTTTGTCATGTTTAGGCCGCCCTACAAAGCACGTCAAAACAGCAGGAAGCAGCAAAGCAGACTTTCGGGAATCCTTCAACCCTAAACTCTAAACTCTAAACCTGAGACCCTAAACCCTAAACTTGAGACCCTAAACCCTAAACCTGAGGCCCTAAACCCTAAACCTGAGGCCCTAAACCCTATACCGCAATCCATTGAGTTCCTGGCTGTGTCGTCTTTCCGAAGACTTCCTGGGGCCCGAGGTTGATACAGGAGCTTCCATAACTTAGGGGTACCTTTAAACGAGGTATATCGGGCTTATAGGGGGCTGTGTAGGGTTTTTTTGGGTTTAGGATTTCCCAAAATAAGGGGTAATTTTTCGGGGGGTCCCTATAATAAGGATTATCGTATTTGGAGTCTATATTGGGGTCCCACTAATTTGGGGAAGCTCCCATATAGGAATTTCTCATATGAATCCTTGCATGGGGAGGGCTGTTCTAAGAATCCCTTTAAAGGTGGGAGTAGTTCCTTAAAGGGAGATCCTCACACAAAAGGCAACTTACCTGATGGCCACCTTGAGGACAGGTATTTTGAACAACTACTGTTGATACTAAAAATCCTGCATGACCTTAGTATACTATAGTACCATTATTCCCAAGGTTTAGGGTGTTTAGGGCCATGCAGGATTTTTAGTATCCACCGTACCACGTAATCTTTCGTGAGAATCTCCTGCTGAGCCCGAAGTATGCCCACGGTCCCTAATGATCCCCCACTTCAGAGACCACAATGTGAACGTCCGCTTCGCAAAAATAGCTTCCAGCGGTTCCTGAGCCACTTCGCAACTTCGTTTTGGACAGGTCAGATGGAAAATTTCATTGAGGGTGCTATTTGCACAGATAATACTCTGCTTAAGGATGATAGATTCAGGAACGAATGTGATTCTCGCCATGATCACCTCTAACTTATATCGCAGACGCAACCAACGACAATGCACGCAAGAGTTTGACAACAATATTTTACATGTCTCAGATGGGGACCCCTACAGCCCGCGCTTATTCCCTGTAAAGCCCTGGGCCCCTATCGTCCCTCAATTTACTGGCACAGTTGAGCATCCACGAAGAGACCATGGTCGCCCTTTGTGTCAAAGAAGTCGTTCCTCAATTCCCCCAGTAACAAGCTCAACTCTTGTTGTCGCAAGCATTCTTTGACGGGAGGCACAAGGTGTGCAGTGGCTTGTATGGAGCTTTGATGGATGTTCATGGTTCTGCTTGGGTTTTGACCTATCTGTGGGCAACTTCTTGCTGGTGATATCCGGCACAGTGGCTCTCCTAAGGGATGTACGAAAACCTATCATTTCTTCTCAGAACTTGACTTTGTTGAGCCTAGAAACCTTGGGGTACAAAACAACATCCATGCCGGCCACCGCTCTGCTCTGCTCTCTGAGCGCACATATCACTTTCAAAACAACGCAAGACTTCAGAACTGCGGATGAAATATGAATATGCACCAAGGCAATGGTCCCTCTTCAAGATTGACGCTTGCACTCAGAAACCTCGTTTTTGGCAAAGAGACACAGGTTTTGAGCTGGGGCGCCGTGGAAACCACTTAAGCAAGGCCTACTCATTTTTTCCAGAATTTGGGTCCCATTTTCCTTGGAGAATGATCCACGCGATTCCTCGTGGGTTCAGGAGGGAGAAAACATCATGACCCATATCCTGTTGAGGTCAGCGGAATGATGCAAGAAACCTTTAGCAATTGTTTGGGCCCTACCCAGATTCTTCGCCAAGGCTCAGGAATAAGAACTCGGATGTTGCAGTGTCCTCTCCAGGGACGCTTTGGATTTAGAGTTTAGGGTTTTGGGTTTATAGGGTCTACATTGGGGAACTTGGAACCCTAGCAAATTTTTAATTCTGCTGTCCCTTAGGATTATAATAAGCAAAAGGTAAAGATTATTTCCAAGTACCCCTAAGTCTAGTCTAGGCTTGTAGAAGCCTGGGAAGGTACCTCGCTAAAGGAGAACGAAATGAACAAGAACATGGAAAATCAAATGGAACTTGGGATTGAGGTAAGGGTTTACAGTTTACGGTGATTACGTACTGTAGACGCTTGCATTGTTGCCAAGTTGCCTCCGCACAGCCCTTAAAACATAGCCTGGGATAATCTAATTACCCCTAAACTCTAAACCCTAAACCCTAAAATCGCGCTTGGGACTTCCTCCCACTCATTTGCCATCCTCACAGTCCCGTGCCTCATAAGTCTAGCGTTCAGGGTTTAGGGTTTGGGGTTTAAAGTCAAAGTTGGTTGGCTGTTAGGGGGCAAGGAATCGGCAGACTCCGTGCTTCCTGTTGCGCAAACCATAGGCCCAAAGCCAGAAACCCAATTTTCAACTTCCAACCTTTGATCTCTAGAGTGCGTGCACCTCAAGGGGTTCACCAATCATATTGGTAATGTTCTATAACCAACAAAAAAACCCCATAAACCCCTACATAAGCCCAGGTTTCCTAAACCATAATCCTTGAAACCGGAATCCTGAACCTTTAGCCCTAAACTCTAAACCCAAAGCCCTTTCAATCTCCCATTTTTCTGACCAGTCGATGCTCCTATACACCTACAAGTATTGGGAACCTTATACCTTAGGTGGACCCCCGACCCAGTAATAGTGACTATAAGGGATAATAGGGATTATATTAGGGTCCTCTTCTATTCCTATTATATCACTATTACAGGGTTGGGGGGGTCCTCCTAACTTATACCCCATCAGCTGCGGTTGGAGCTGAGGCGGCTACAAAGGGCAATATAAGGCTTATATAGGAGTTGAGGGTTTAGGGTTTACTCTTATGTTATAGGGTTATATAGGGATGATATAGGGGTTGTATAGGGATAATGAAAATAATATGGAAGCTACTAGAATATAGGGATGAGAAAGGGGTTATACAGGGATAATGGACACGAAAGTAGGAACTACTATGGAATATTGGGGCTATATAGGGATAATGGAAAAGAAAAGGGAAACTTCTATATTAGATAGGGTTTAGGGCTCAGGGTTTGAGGTTGGGGTTTTAGGGTCTGGGGTTTCAAGGTTTGGGGTTCAGGGTTTTAGGGGCTTGGGATTTAGGAGTTTGGGGTGTAGGGTTTTTGAGTTTGGAGTTGGAGTTTAGGGGTTTGGAGTTTAGGACTTGGGGTTCAGGGTTAGGCGCAAGAGAGCATTTGCTTTAGAAGCCAAATCGTGTGTCTTTGCTACTTCAGATAAGCATTTCCATGCAATTAGGATCGCTTTTGCTATGTACTCCTCAATACTAGAAACCTTGATTGCGCGGACTGAAACCCCGAACCCTAGACCCCGAAATGTCCATCAGCAGCATTTGGTGGCTGCGGAAGAGCTGCTCGTGGTAGTACTTGATCTTGTCCTCCACCATGGGCTGACATGGTCCAGATGGCTTAGGGTTTCGGGCTTGTTTGCTAGCGTTTAGGGACACGGTTTACGGTTGGGGTGTAGTGCAATGTCCTACTATAGCAATTACATAAAGAGTATGCGGAGGTGATATCAGGGAGCTATCAGGAAGGCATCTACGGGACGGCAGTGTGAATACCGGCTTCCTATGTAGAAAGAAATGTGACTGTATTCCACATGTCTCATCGCTCATACATGTACTGGACACTGAATTTCACAGGGGAATATCTAGACCCAAAAACCAGTCGCCATGAGAGCCATCCTGCTGACATTAGCTCATGAAAGGATTTTCAACAATGGACACAGCCTTTGCGGCCCCAGGGATATATGGAGGCTGAAGCTCTAAATTACGGCCCCTTTTTGTGGAGTTCTCATGATAGAAAAAATAGGATATTTGGGTGCATAGCAGGGCATTCGATTCATGGAAACTACCCTCCATCAATCTACCGTACGTGCCGCAGCCCGTTTTGCTAGAAGCAGAGCTTCTGTCTAGGGAGGCTTTGTGCAGAGGTGATGACCCACGGTTCATGCAATGCACAAAACTAAAACCAAAGATGCTAAAGCCTCTGATAGTCTTGAGACTCTTAACCCCGAAAGCAGAATGTGCATTGATGCTAGGTTCTAGGTTAGAATCCCACTTTCTCCGGGCTCCCGGTTCGTGTGGGCAATGATGGGATCTCGATCCAACTGCTCGAGGATCGCGTCGCGACCTGCCGACGTCAACAAAATTGTCATGGCCAGACCCTTGACTGACTAGGATATAAAGTTTAGGGTTTAGGACATAAGGCTTAGGGATTAGGATGTCATGTTCAAGGTTTAGGAAATAGGGTTCGGGGTTGTACTTACTTGTTCGAGTAGGGTTCAGGGTTTAGGGTTAAAAGTTCAAGGTTTAGCTTAGGGTTTAGGGCGTATGGTTTACGGTCAAGAGTTCAAGGCTTGGGGTTTGGGTTTAAGTAGGGCTCCTCAAAGAATGCAGACTCAAGTGGAAGAAATTGCAAAAGAAATGGAAGCTGCGGACTATCAGCTTTGATCGTGGTACACGGACTGAGAGGCGATTCCACTCCCCAACACCCTATGAAGCACCCCAAACCCCAAACCGTAAACCCCATAAATCCTTACCACAGTGACTACAGGCAACCTAAATTGAAGAGTTTACTTGCTGCAGCAAAATTCAAACTCAAACTGGACATGCTGAGCTAGGTAATCCGGTGTCCTAAAGAACACTCAGGTCATCCATACTCAAATATTCTCAACGATTAACAGATTCTAAGGCATGACCTGGTTTTCTTTGTCTAGCTCTGGAGGGATTGCAACAGTCAACATTCACAGGTGCCAGGGCATCCACAGCGGGGAAACCCTGATGGAAAAACCGAATGGACAAAATCTACTGGACACCGGATTTCTGTACAGGGGTTTGTAACGTTGTAAGTTTGCTTGCTGGTGCTCAAGTGGGAGTGGGGGAGTCACCCTGAGGACCTTGGCCTTTGCAGCAAATCATTGTCTTGCGTTAGGATATACTTCCTTGCTTTAGTATTAGAAGCTACTTTAGAGCTGTGTGCATGGATGCCCCCCCTCCCAACACAAACACAATGCATCTCTTGTTGTGGCCACCCTAGCCCTGAGCCATGGGCATGCGGCGCTGCTCAGTTTCCAAGCTTGTCCAAAGCGCCCGCTGACCTTCAAAATGAAGTGTCATTTGGATCTGCCAGAGCGGGGGCCCAACAGAGTGTGAGAATGGATCAGCACCAGCGGCATGCTGTAGAGCTTGGCAAGCCAGAGCAGAAGCAGGTCCGCCCTATCCGGGCAACTTTCTGGCAGATCTTCACGGTCTTCAAGGATCTGCCTCCGAAGATCTTCGAAAGTCAGCCGGCGAGGTGTTGGCGAAGACATGTGGAGCCCGCACTGCCGCAACGGGGGCACTGAAGCCTGGCGATCGAAGCCTTGTCTCTCTCCGACTGTTATGCTCTTATGCTGAACGTGTTTGCCGCAGTGGAAGCTCCTCCATCAACATAACAGGACTTGACAATGGTCGTCGCGAGGCAAGAAAGATTGCGCGCGTGTTGCCAGATTGATGTGCCCAGTCTGTCTCAAACTCATCATGATTTGGCTGAGTGATCGGCACATACGCATATGGGAACAGCTTCTTCAATATCTGGAACACATCCTCCCGCCGAAGACGACGGGCACGGCCCCGGAATGACATGGAATCTGCGTCTACAGACTCATCAATATCCACAATCTCCGTTGCCACGACCGTTTCCATGAGCAAAAAATCAGAAACCAGTGGCACGAGCCTCTCCAGGAATTGCTCCGGCTTTTCCAGGTGATACAATAGGCCATAGCAAAAAACAATGTCCCATGTCCCTTCTGGCAATGAGGCCTCCACGTCCATGGATAGTACCTGGACCTTTCGCGGATCTGGAAACCTTGCTTCTTGCGATGCATCTTAACGCGGCAAAATTGCCATCTGGGATTGGGCTATTCTATGCCAACGTGACCCTGAGCTGAAGCCCCAGGCCTTTAACATCCATCAGTGCACGGGGCGAGTGCACACAACAATGCATCTGCGCATACAACCACGAACAACAGAAGCCTCTATACTGTGGACCAGCGTATCCCGATCAAAATGTTGCTAGGGTTCAGTTGGTGCATCACAGAAGCTTCACTGGGCAGAGGCCCTAGCGGGTTTTGTTAGATATGGACTCACGTTGACTTGCCAAAGCCTTTCCAACCATGAAAGAGAGAAACAGATAGCCCAGAGACAGCTTCTTCCGCAGTGCAATGATGTTGGTCTTGCGAGGCTCCACTATCGTGACATTGCAGCCCCGGTCCTGAGCTGGTTCTACATAGACTTACTGGTTTTGAGAAGGGAATATGGAACATATTATATGGGCAGTATATAGGGGGAGTATTCCTTTATTCCCGACTAAGAAACAGTAATCTCAAGTCTGAACGCTAATTTACAGAGGGCTAGGCATGACAAGCCGAGGGAAAAAGAAGGTCTAAGCCTAAGCCCTATGTCGCCCAGGAAGGTCTAAGCCCTGCGTCGCCCACTGTGCAGCGACATCGCTGCATGTGTGTGCGCTGCGGGTTATGGGGCTTGAACCTGTGGAACGCACTTGCACCTGCACAGCAGTCTCTTACACAAAAAATGCCGTTGTTGTGCATCTTCCGACTGAGCGCTTACTGCAGTTGCCTGCCTCTACCTACCTATCCACCTATCCAGTAACCTGCCTACTCCTCCCCCTCTGTTCTTTTAAGGCTACACAGAACCCTGGAGAGCCCGTCAGAGCTACACGCTGAGGGAACAACATTCAACAGAACAGCTGTTCCAAAAATGTCTGCGAGTCGGTGAAGAAGTGCGTCAAATCGCCCTGCCTCGCCCCAAGCTCCAGAACCCGACGATTCCAGACAGGAAGTGCAAGCGACGCGAGGTGCTCCAATCTGCCTGGGTGTAGGATTGAGGCAGAGGTTCAGGGCATAGGGCTTCAAAGATCCGGACATGAGTTGAAAGGTCCCTGCTCTTGAGCCTTGAGATGCGTCTTGTGGTTCTGATCTTCAAACTTTGGGAGCATACCGCCGGGGACTGTATGACTAAAGTCAGCCAAACATACCTAAATCCTTTGCATTAGGAAGCTTTTCTGAACAGCAGCACAGCAGCGAGCAGTAAACCGCTGATATTTCTGTTCTATACCGAGCTGTTGGTAGAGAGCTTCGGTCAGTATCTCAGGATGGTTCTCGTAGGCTGTCTGCCGCATGTCACAGCACACCTCCTTCAAAAAATAGAGGCCATCAAAGCAGGCCGCACTTGGTTTCCTCCGACAGCAAAGCTTCCGTGATGTACACACCCCTGCATAGCAGCCCCAGCAATTGCGAAAGATTCCATGAGTACCGCTCACCCAGCCACTCACTTGCATAGTCCTGTTGCTCGGGTCTGCCAAGCGTCCCCTGGGAAAGTGTATGCTACCCTGAAAGTAGTCAAAGTGGCGGAAGGACTGCACCAGCAAAGCCTCCGAAGGCGATACTGCGAGAAGCCTCTGGTCAACGGCTGAACCTAGGCTTTCAAGTTCCTCCGCAGGCCGTTCCCCAAGAAAAACGTGAGTTTCTGGCTTCCTTGCGGGAACTCCTGGAGGACCTCCTGACTCTACGGAGGTCTTCTTGAAACAAACATTTACTTGCTCCCAAGAAGCAGAAACCCTGCAGGCTGAGACAGAACACCAAGCGGCCATAAGGCATGGCATCAAGAAACTTCTTTGGCTCGTGAAGGGAGGGGTTATGAGGTTATAGGGATTATAGGGGTATAGGGGTTCAGTGGAATACGTGACTCTATGAGCTTTCTGAGTTTACATGGTCAAAGCTCGAGCCTTTTGGATTGCAAGGGCCAGCAGAGCATAGCATGACCTTGAAGTGAATGTAGCATATTGCGTTTAAATAGGGATAATGGAAAAGAAAATGGAAACTATAGGGATTATATAGCGGTTCTATGGGGTTATATATATATATAGCAGTATGACAACCGCTAAAGTTTTCCTGTCGAAGAGTAGGGACTAGTCCGACATGTGCCTAGCGATGGGATCCGTCCATGGGTCAAGTTCTGGAACACATTGGCAGGCCGCAGCTGCGTTCTGCGGAGAATATGGGGGCTACCAAAACTATGGTTCCTTGCAGGGTACCCTGAACCAAGAAAGGACGATGATTCTGACACCCCCGCAGTACATCCCAAACCGCCAGTCGGAGGTTTCTGAAGATGGGGGGGGGGGCCTTGAGAACCCTAGTAATATGGGGATTTCGACCGTATCCTGTTGGTTTTCATGGTGCCGGAGGTTCTTTTCAAGAGAGCACTGTCCCACGCAGATCTTCTTGCTTATGTGCCAGACGTGTTGGGTCTTTCTGGTCAAGAACCGCCGGAATTCAAGGAGTGGGACCCGGCATGATCAGAAAGCTTCGCTGTGAACGCTACAAGACCAACTGCCGTAGGGGGCTACATGATTACCAATATTAGGTCCCTCTAAAGGGTTTACAGGAAATACACAAGGATATCTAGGGTTTGAGGGTATAGGGAAGAATGGAAAACCAAATGGACAAGAAATGGAAACTGAAATGGAAGCTGGGGTTACATAGCGGGCTCTGGGGATAGGGATAGTTACCCAGATTGCTGTTCTAGACCCCAAAATCATGGTGGTCAGTGTGCAGACCCCTGTATTACACACTGCAGGACCACACAAGCAGACCTGCAACGAGTACATGAATTTCCGAATATTGTCTGAGGTTTAGGGTTTAGGGTTTAGGGTACTCATGCTTTCCAATGAGACCTCAAGGCTCAGAGAAACTCGGTGGAGATAGGTCAGGCATCAGGGAAGTAAGTTCCAAAAAAAGAGTCCAAGTTCAAGCACTGATTGCTGGTAGCCAGAAGCCAATCAAGGCTTGCGGCTATGCAGCTACGGGGAGGAAAATGGATCCCTGAACGCGGTTTTCACAAATTCGCGGGCTCATTTGTGGACCGCAACCTACTATAATCCTGCTAGCTAATAGCAGCTGCTGAAAAAGGACCGACAATCTATCCCTAAATTGGCCCTAAATGTCCCTGTAGCACGCTTCTGGTTTGGACCCCCCCCATAAATGTTCGTTTCGCGAAACAAGGGGACCCCACTATAGACCCCAAAATACGATACTCCTTATTGTAGGAACCTGCAAAAAGTTGCCCCTACTTTTTGGAAACCCTAAACCATAGATATCCCTGTAAAACATGTCTATATAGTATATATCTCTATATACCCCTATGGAAACACCTATAGCGCTTTTGAGGCCTAAAGTTTCGGACACCCAAGCCCACCATGTATTTCCGATAAACTTACTCGATGTGACTTGTGCATTCTGATCTTCTTGCTACAACTATAGTATTTAAGGTAAATCTAGGGTTTAGGGTGAGGCCAGCCTTTTCTATTCTGAGCGCATGGTTTTAAATGGTAGAAGGATGCCAACAGCTACCCGAACACCGGGGCGGCGCACGCCGCAAGCGATGGCACGAATTCGCGCGGTCGTGAAGTAGGGGATGCAGAGGGTGGAGGGGCATTTAAGGGAAAGCTAGGCCCTGCCTAAAGCCCTAAACCCCACACCCTAAAAATAAATCCGAAACCCTAAAGCGGATTCAAAATGAAGCCTATCTTCGCCCACTTCAAGACACAGAAGATAGCTAGTGATGCCTATGGCATCTGTCCCTAGGTTCTCGAGCCGAGAAACACAGGGAGAGCACCGTCAGGAGCAACGAACTAAAGAGGGAACGAAGTCAATCCAATTCATCAACGAAGCAGACAGGCGTCCATTATAGATCTTAACGGACTCGAATTGGGACTCACAAAGAGGGAACCCCAAGAATTTAGTAGGAATACAAAAGCAATATAAGGACGCTGGTAGGTAGATTACTACCATATTACCCATTACAGTCCTTGTAGTACCAGGTCGCCGGGCAGCGCTGTAAACGGTGCTCCTGCAAGGACGGCTGCTCGCGGCCTTCTGCGCCACGCGCCACCGCCATATAAAACGTTGTTGTTTCGGCAGTCCCTGGGAGGATATGCGATTTGGCCTGAACTAACGCTCCCCAAAATGGATGTTTTTCATGGGATCCGTATTGTAAAAAAGGAAAGCCACTAAAGGGACCCGTATTATGACGAATATGTCTCATCTAACAAGAGGATTTTGGTAATCCCAAGCCCGGAAAATTGAGATCCTATTGATAGTCATATGAGAACTTTAGAATCCTTATTCTGGCACTTTGATTAGATGCCCCATATATATGCCGTTACTGTACCCATCTTTTGGTTCCTACCTATGGCTTCATAAGGCACATCACAAGCATACAAATTCCTAGGAGTAAGCGCCCCACTGAGCTATAGTCTAAACTCCTAGTATCCCGATTCATAAGACCCATAATATTTCCCTATATAATCTCCTACATAATCCTCCTTTAAAGGGTTTAGACTGTAGCACCGCTAGCGGCCCATAGTTCCAGGGAATCATCTGGATCTGCTTACGGATTCCTCCCTAAGGCCTGGCGAAAAGCAGACCCTTGATCTGCTCTAAAGACCTCCCCCTAGTAATCAATCCCTGTACCTCCTCACATCATGGGCTCCCCTACTACCCTCCCTATACTTCCCACCCTGGGTTGCCTCTTGATTGGCTTAACTGGGCCTATTGAGGGAGAATAAGGGCTAAGTAAAAGCAATCTAGGGGGTAGCGTACGCAGCAGTACGGGGAGCCATGATCATGATGAATATTAATGGTCCCAATACCATACCACAGTATAGTTGGGAGGATTATCAGGTGGGGTTTTGGGGGGTGATTTGTTGGGGGGAGGTGATTAGTTCTGGAAGACTTGCCTGGGAGTTTCCCCATGGGTCTCCCAAAGTGGGGGGCCCTGGGATGGATGCCCTGGGGCTTACGGGGATTTGAAGGCAGTGCCCTTATTGCAAAGTCCTTGTTTTCGATCAAATGGATAGTTCTTGAAGCTATAGTAAAGACCTCTATCTGACAAAACCCTTAAGCTTTAATGTAAGGCAATCTCAAATGGGATCGGGAATCTCCATAGCTACAGAATCGGATGATTCGTGGTGGCTTGATCGTTCCTGGTTGTAAATGTCAAGTACAGCTTTGGTAAGAAAGCCTTGGGGTATACCATGCTGGAACTAGCTAGAGACAATCAGGAGCCACAGCCATACCCCCAGTTCCTCTGGTTCATTCTAGATAAGGTGCATTTCTAGGGGAAACTCTGGTAGCTGCGAGCCTGCATGCTTGGGCCAGCTGCACCAAATGCTGCTCTACGTGATTGTGGCTAGGAAAAAGGAAGCCGTGTCTACGGATGCATGGAATCGAGGGTTTGAGGTTGAGGGTTTATGGTTTAAGGCCAAGTGAGAATCATTCACTGACCTAATCCAGCCCGTTTGGGGGATCCTAGTGATATCAACCCCATTCCAGTGACTCTTAACCCACTTATGTATTGCCGAAAGGCCAGTTCAGCAATAACATGACATCAAACAACCTTTTCGTGCAAGCTTGATTCCATGCTGCCGAGAAGTTGGACTCCAAGCGGCCACATCAGCAACGGATCTCTTGTCATGCCGCCAGAATCTCCCTGCTGTACGCCCCTACATGTGATTTCTCAAGCTTGGGTTATGCGGGTCTTTAGACGAAGAAATGTCAGAAACTTCCGCATGTCTGCACGAACCACAGTGAATAGCTAAAGGTGTACCTTGATATGCACTACACAGGAAGCCCTGTGAACTCCAACAGGTACGGCGAGCAAGTTAGAAAAACAGTTGGCATGACCAAACATGCTAATTTCAGGGCTTCAGACCACTGAGGGTGTAGGGCCTAACCATAACAGTACAAGGAATTATGTTGCTCTCTATTTTGAAGCCCTAAACCCTAAATAGTAGTTTCCATTTTATTTTCCATTATCCCAATTTAACCCCAATACAATGTAGGGCTTAGCTTTCAAATCTGGCCAAGGCGGGCTGGACTCATGGTGGGGCCACGGCTATTTCAAAAGCACCTGATCGCCAGAATGCAACTCTTCATCCCCTCCCAGATTTCTTCCCAAAATCCTATGCAGCATCTACAGAATCACACCCTAAACCCTAAACCCTCCCAAAACCCACAGAACTATCAACTGCGGGGCACCATCATCCTAGCATGCCTGGGACCACTGAACCCTAAATCCCATATACTATAGTAGTTTCCATTTTCTTTTGCATTATCCCAATATGGAGATTTCCCAAAATTAGGAATACCATTTTGGGGGTCCCCAATATAAGGATTATACTATTTTGGGGTCTATATTGGGGCTCAGTTTGGGAAGCTGCCATATAACCCCGTATAACCCTATATCACACTATACTTAAGGCAAGATCTCTAGACCCGTATGTGGTACGGATGTTCGCTGACGTCCGGAAGCTCAGTTTGGCTCGCTGTCGGACACAGCTCCTCTGTAGCCAGACCTCTTCTTACTGGGGGTTAGTGGGGTTTTAGGGGTTAGAGTTTAGGGTTTAGGGCTTAGGGAATACAATCCCTATATATAATTCCTACATAATCTATTCCCCTATTCCCTGCTAAGCTCCGGTAAGCCTTTGGGGTTTAGGGTTGGAGGTTGAGGGTTTAGGGTTTCGGGCATAGAGCCTGAGTTTCAGGTTTAGGCTTCGGGTTCGGGGCTTGGGGCTTAGGATTTAGGATTGAG